TTCCCCTAAATTCCAGCGCTCCCGTAATCACCATGATAGACAGCAAAGTGTGGGCGGTGACGATGGGCGTTCTAGCGCTCTTCGTGGTGACACCCGCCGCCTACGTCAACAACACGAACTTGTACTACGGGATGGAGGGCTGGCTCCCCGTGGGCGTCATTCAAGAGGTCCAGGATGTACGTGCTTTTAGTTTAATATTAAAAGTTAATGTTAATTTTCATTCATGTGCTTACACATATATATATGTGTGTGTGTAGATACATACATACATAAATACATACATATGTATATATATGTATGTATAATGTATCTATCTATTTAACTATATATAAATATATATTACATACATATATTATGTATATAATATATGTGCATAATTTATATATATATGAATATCTTCATCATCACCTACGAGGGTCACTCATGGCGAGCCGCCAGGCAGGGGCTCGGCCCATCTCTAGCTCCTCACGACAAGTTTGATCGACCTGCCCAAGCCACGACTTCCTCAGTCGTCCCACAGGCCTCCCCCACCCAAGATAATCTCAATCAGAGACAACCTGGTGGGCAGTCATCCTGCAGTAGTCGAGCCAAGTGGCCGTATAGCCTGAGTTGGCGATCGCGGATTGTGCAAGTAAAAGGTCCTGTACTGGTCTCACGGTGCAACCGTTGGTTGGACATATGGTCCCGCCAACTGTACCCCATGATCTGTTACAAAAGGCATCATGACGAGATTCCAAAGCACAAGATAGCATCCAGGTTTCACTACCATATAATAAAAAGGGCAGTATCAGTGCCTTGAAGACACATAGCTTGGTCCTTCTGCACAGGTACCGGCATATCCAAATACTCTTGTCAAGAGATTTCATGACTCCTGCTACCAGGCCAAACCATCTTGCTGGTCTGACAGCCTGAAGTCATGAATTGCAAACTACTGAGGTATATAAAGCTCTATGTGAACTGATGTTTTAACTGCATGCACATACCGACTGCACAGGGTCTCCTAAAAGGCCCCCAAAATCCTGGATCTTGGTCTTGCTCCAGGAGACCTCTAGCCTCAGTGGCTTCACTTCATTGCTAAATACATCAAGAGCCGCCTTGATTGCTAAATGCATCAAGGCCAGTAATCTTGATATTGCCCAGAGTTGCTCCACAGTGACTTTGGACAGTAGCTCTACCCAGTATCCAGTCCATGCAAGTGGAAGGGAGGAAGCTCGACAGTATTTTCAGTTCCAGTATGCAGACTTGCTATTAGTTCAATAATCCTAATTGGAATTTCTCTTAGTCTCAAGGTCTCCCAGAGGGATTCATGATGCACGATATCAAACGCCTTCTTGAGGTCAATGTAAGATGCAAGCAGCCCACGTTTGAACTCACGACGGCTCTCTACAATGACTCGAAGCACCAGGATATGGTCTATTGTTGAACATACCAGGAATGAATCCAGATTGCTCTGGCGATTGGTGCCTCAGCACGTGGTCTCTGATACATCTCAGTAGGATGTGCGTGAGTACCTTGCCTGGTATACTGAGTAGTGTAATGCCTCGGTGATTGCTGTAGTCCCACTGATTCCCTTTCCCCTTTCAAAGAGAGATGACCACAACCCTCAGCAAGTCAAGGGGAATGATACCAGTCTGCTAGATGGCAGACAGGACAGCATGCAAGGCCGTTGCCGTTAGTTCTCCACCAGCCTTTAACAGTTCAGCTGGGATGCCACAAACACTTGCTGCTTTACCACTCTTCAGCTTGGAACTCAATCCCCTGACTTCAGTTGGATGATGGGTGGGTTTGGCAGAGGAATCTCAACATTACCCGAGTCCAAGTTAATTGTTGGTTGATCAACCTGATACAACTGCTCAAAATACTCAACCTAACGCACCCGCGCCTCATCAGGATCTGAGATTATCTGGCCGCTTGCTGAGCAGACTGCAGTCGTCTGTGAGGAGGGCTTGGAGTTCAGCTTTCTCAGGGCTTGGTAGGCAGGACGAAGGTCATTTACTAGGAAATGGCTTTCAACCTCCTTTGCAAGATTCCTGATAAACTATTCCTTATCCCTTCTCAACAGTGACCTAGTCCTGCAAACCAAGGAATGGTGCAAGTTGCGATCCCCTGACAATCGAGCTGCATGATAAGCATTTGTGGCTTCCAGTGTCTCCTCCAAAATGAAATTCTGTCTTGCTCTTCAGCATTCACTAATCGATTCTTAGACTGCATCAAGCGTTTCAAGCTTGAAGGTATCCCACAGAAGAACAGGATCCATCAGGCCCTCGAGTGCTGTGAAATATCCAGAGATAGCCTCGACAAACCCCTGGCCACACTCATCCTCCCTCAGTCTGTCCACATGAAGCACCCTAAGGTGCTCACTGGAGCAATGGGGAGTTCTAAAGTGGACCCGGAGAGTAGCCACAACTAATCTATGATCAGTTCCACAGAACTCGGCGGTCTGATACACTCTATAGTTCTGGAGGATCGTCCATCAAGTGCTAACGAGAGTGTGGTTGATCTCCTTGACCATATTACCTGTATCACTGTTATAAGTCCAATGATGAGGATCAGAACACTGATACCAGAAACCAGAAATCCTCAGTTTCTGGGACCTAGCAAAGTCACGGTAAAGGAGACTATTCTCGCTGTCAGCATCAGCTTGTGAGCCATAAGGACAGACAGACATCTCGTAGGCAGCTTGATTGCAGCCAGATACCACACTGAAGTCACCCAGAACAATACAAATATCTTGCCGAGGACAGCTTTCTGTCACAGATGCAAGTTTGGCATAAACCATCTCTTTCACCTCAAGTTTATACACATCTGTAAGAGTGTACACAGCAATAGGAGACATGAAGCCATATGTAAGCTTCAGTCTCGAGGGATGAAGTCTGCAGGAGATGGCTATGGCTACTCCCTGGGGGTGGTAGTCATCGCTGCAGCCTGACCAGTAATAAGTGTAGCCAACCACACTAATCGTGCTGCTGCCAGGTCTTCTCACCTCCGAGAGAGCAGCCATCTCAATTCTCAGCTGCTTCATTTCCCTTGACAATAGTGGTAACCGATCGTCCTGTTACAAGGAATGGACGTTTCAAGCCCCCACCCTAACAGCCCACCTGAGGTCTAACCTCGAGCTGTCACTCCGGGTGGGCACCGGCTCTGCCACCCCTACCGACGCTGCCCCATATAGAGGGGTTTAGCTGGCTGCAGATCCTATAATCCACCTGCGGGGTTCCTGGGGGCTTTGCCAGGTTGGCGGCCGCCGGTTCCCTACCCGATTCTCAGCGGTCGCCAACCCAGAGGGACCCACAGTCCGCCTTACTTGCTGGGTAAGAGGGACGTTAACCCTCCACCCAGCACCACCATCTATATAATTATAGATAGCCAGCTAGCTAGCGGTGACAGCTGCAAGCAAGAAGGCATGCAAAGCTCACCATCGCTCCACATCACCCTGAGCATTAAGCCCCCAACCAACTATGAATGTTTTCTATATATATATATGCACACACACACATATATACACTTTATTCCAGGGCGTGTCTGCTATAATGTGTGGAATCCTGTGTTCCTTCGCGGACTGCGTCGGCTTTACCCTCGAGCCGTCTACCGCGGGTCGTTACTGCGCCCTCTACACGAACGTCACTGATTTCGCAAACAACGACACCGACGCTAAGCTATTCCTGAGATGTGAGTGCTCTTGCTTTGGCGATGACCTCCTCCTCCTTCCCCTTCTTCTTTTTCTTCTTCTTCTTCTCCTCCACCTCCTCCTCCTCTTCTTTTCCTTTTCCATCTCTTCCTCCTCCTTCTCCTCCTGTTGCGCCCTGGTGCACTCATGCGTGTGTGTGTACATACATATATACATACATACATACATTCCACTGCAGGACTTAGGTTCCTCTCAATTTATTACTGAAAAGTTGTTAGGCAGTACTACCTTTCCCTGACTGGATGACCTGCCCAAATCAACCGCTGTCCAGCGCGTTACCACTTGAGCCAAAGCGGCGACTTCCCCAAAGATATATATCCATATACACCTCTCTCTTTGTACTATAGTTTTCGTTATCCTATTAAGGAAGTTATAACAGTAATGATTATAACAACTACAGATGTAACAAAATCACCATCAGTAACTGCTGAATTCTGCCCCCAAATCCTTTCATTCAGACAAGCACAAGTGTTTCTTCAATGAGAGCGATTGCCATGACATGGCCACGTGCTACCATTATGACGGAGAGAACCACACCTGCACTTGCATACCTGGATACGTTGGAGACGGGTTTACCTGTCAGGGTGAGTAGTCCTCATGTACCTACGTGTTTCTATCTATTAGTTTATTTATCTACAGTGTTTATATCTGTGCACCTATCAATCTGTATATATTAAATTATCATTATTGTTAGTATTGTTACTATCATGATCACCGTTGTTGTTTTTATTTGCTGTTACTGATAATTATCAGTATTGTTACGATTAATAATTTTCTTATTATCTTTATCCCGATCATCATTTTTCTGTTAGTAAATTCCATTTGGTTTATTATCATAATGATCACGAAGATTATCTTAATTATCATTATCATTGTTACTATTAGTGTTATTATATTTACCATTACTATAATTACCGCTATTGGCATTATTAAAAGCATTACTATTGTCAGTGTCATTATTACTGTTTTTGGTATTATTATCATCACCATTATCATTGTTATCATTTATTATCATTATCGTTATCATTACTATCATTATCTTTAGTGTCTAAAGAAGATGGGAATTAGAAAGGGATTAAAACATATATAATTTTAGGTTGTGATTTCTGACCTCTATTTAGCCTTAGGGGGAGGGGGGGTGCACTGGCCTCTAAATTACTCTTTTTTGTGTGTGTGTGGGGGGGGGGGAGGCAACACCTCACATCCCCTTAAACAAACCACCCACCCACCCACCTCTCCCACCCGCTCACCCACCCCGCCCACCGTTCCTAAGGTGACGTGTCTCCACAACAGGTGCCTGCGTCGCCAACCCTTGCTTCCCAGGTGTAAGCTGCATAGACACATATAACGAGACCTGGTACTTCTGCGACAGGTGTCCTCCGGGTTATGGCGGTGATGGGCAGACTTGTATTGACCTGCAGGTACGGTCTTCTAGAAAACGAAAGTCGTCACCTTTCTATGGTGAAGCATTTCATTTCTCTTTCTGTCTGTTTCCCTGCAGCTGTCCAGACGCATACTATATTCTATTAAATATCCTGGTGTGTCAGGAAGGCCATGCTGTGATTCTTATATCATCTGGGCTGTTGTAGTCGAGTGGTCATATATATATGTGTGTGTGTGTGTGTGTGTGTGTGTATGTGTGTGTGTGTGTGTGTTTGTGTGTGCGCGCGTGTGTGTGTGTGTGTGTGTTTGTGTGTGTGTGTGTCTATACATTATGTACATGTATTGTACGCATGCATGTATGTGCGTGTATAAGACAGAACAGCATTAACTAGCTCCTCGCGTGCAGTGCCCAAGCGGGTACGCGGGCGACGGCGAGACGTGCGGCCCCGACAGCGACCAGGACGGCTTCCCCAACATCGGGCTGGCCTGCGCCGAGCCCGGCTGCGTCCAAGACAACTGCCCGACGTGGCCCAACTCTGGCCAAGAGGACGCCGACGGGGACGGCCTCGGCGATGCGTGCGACGACGACGCCGACGACGACACCTTGGAAAACGATGTGGTACGGGGGCGACTATCCCTTTCTCACACACACACACACACACACACACACACACGTATATATATATATATATATATATATATATATATATATATATATATATATATATATATATTTATGCATACAGAGATGTATATGTATATATATGCATATATATATATATGTATATACATATACATATATATATAAAGATATGCATATACATATATATGCAATATATATACACATATATACGTGTATATATACATACATATAAATATATATAAATACATATATATAAATACATATACATATATATACATATATACATACATCTGTATATATACATACATATGTATATATATTAACATATGTACATATGTTAATATATATACATATCTATACATACGATTGTATATACATATTGTAAGATTGACAGTTGTAAGGTGTATCTTATCCTGTATCCCCCACCCCTATCTCACTGTATCTCTCTTTCTCTCTCTCCCTCCCTCCTTTCCCTCACACCCTTACTCCTTATCTCCCTTGTTATTTTCCTCCCTCTCTCCCTCCTTCCCTCCCTTGCTCCTTCCCTCTCTCCCTCTCCCCCTCATTCTTTCCTTCTCTCCCTCTCTCCCTTGTTCCTTTACTCTCTCCCTCCTTCCCTCTCTTGTTCTTCCTTCTCTCCCTATCCCTCCCTTGTTCCTTCCCTCTCTTCCTCTTCCTCCCTCTCCCCCTCCTCCCCTCCTTTTTCTCCCTCCTTCCCTCCCTCTCTCCCTTCTTCCTTCCCTCCCTCCCTCTCATTCTCCCCACCCCTTCCCTTCCCTCCTTACGTTCCTCTCCCCCGCCCTCGCCCAGGACAACTGCCCCCTCGTGGCCAACCTCGGCCAAGCTGACGGCGACGGTGACAGCGTGGGCGATGCCTGTGACAACTGCCCCGCCCTCGCCAACTCGGATCAGGGCGATGCTGACGGCGACGGTGTGGGCGACGCGTGCGATCCTGACAAGGACAGTGACGGTAAGTACACACATACACACAAAAACATACATGTATGTTTATAGATATATATACTATACAAGTATGTATATATATACAAATGTTTACATATATACATATATACATATATATATATATATACAATTATATGTAGAGATATATACGTATAAATTAATATGTGTATACATATATATATATATACATATATGCATATGTGTATGTATTTATATATATGCACATACCCACATATATATGTGTATGTATATATGTATACACACATACACATATGTATATTTATACCCACAAGTATATATACACAAATATATATGTACACGCATATATGCAAATATATACACATATATGTGTGTACATGTAATATCTACATATCTGCACATATGTATATATATACATATATATACACATGTATTCATTATTAGAAGGGCGATTAGACGAAATGACCGATTAATTGGTCGTCAAGAGCCTTAAAGACGATTATCAACTATCTAAATCACCAAGTCGATTATTCCTTACCAAACTTGTTGAACAATCATCATCAATTTGGCGTTTTCTTTGTCAATTCATAGCTTTGAGTCAGCCGCCATTGTTTACTTGTTTTGCGCAGTGCCCATCCAGTGTCCTAGTCATGCACTTTCGGGGACTGACCTGTTTCTAACTGGTCATTCACTCAGACTCAAGCCGTTGTGGGAGTCACATGCATACATACATATGAACACACACACAAATTATTATCTGAAATGTCACGACTTTCTCAATGTCTAGTCACTGTCAGAACAGCCACTATCCCTTCTTGTAATGGCGCGGGAGTGGGATTAAAAGGCTTTCCTATTCATCCACAAACAACGATCCAGGTGTATCCGACGGCGCTGACAACTGCCCGGTATTTAACAACACCGACCAGCTTGACACCGACGGCGACGGACTGGGCGACGCGTGTGACAACTGCCCGTCTGCTGCCAACGCGGACCAGGCCGATGCGGATGCGGACCTCATCGGCGACGCCTGCGACGATGACATAGATACGGACATGTCAGTGTGGTTTTCTTGCTATGTATGTGTCGTTTTTTCATTAAAACAGCAATAACAGCAACAAAGAGAAACATGATTTATCTTCTGCCCGAGGCGTTATGTCATTTGATGAACAACATAGCGTGTATGTATATGTGAATGCGTGTGTGTGTGTTCGTCTGCATGGGATGTGTGAAAGACGGCAAAAGATGAAAGGGGAATAGCGAAAAAGATCTACACAAAGCAGAAGTCTGCCCACTATATCCTGCGTCTCTCTTGCAGGGACTCCATCCAGGACAGCCTCGACAACTGTCCGAACGACGTCAACAGCGACCAGGGCGACGCAGACGCAGACGGCGTGGGTGATGTGTGCGACTTAGACGCCGATTCCGATGGCATTCTCGGAACGTTCGACAACTGCCCGCTCGTGCCCAACGTCGACCAGGACGACATGGAGGGCGACGGCGTGGGCGACGCATGCGCACTCGACTTCGATGGCGACGGCCACCTCGACGCCAACGACATCTGCCCCAAGAACGGCGCCATTTTCGAGCAGGACCTAGGGTCAGTTCCGCCTCCGGCTCAGCATGTAGGGGTGTCGGTTGAAGTCGAAATACGTTTTCGATCGATACCACAAAAGAAGCCGAGGCTGGCTTTACTTGTTGCTTACACATGCATCTGCAGTGTATGTGTATATCAAAGACCCTTCAATACAGAAAGGCAAAGCAGGAACTTTTAGCCTTAAAGAATACTGTGCCAATTTTAAGCCATCTGTCACTTGACATTTCGTTACATCATCGATGCCGTCACAGTCATGATATATACATATCTAGGCTTTCTTTCTGTAGTGGTTTGTGATTTCTTTTTCATTCCCATCCTTCGTTAATTTGGCGGTCCGGTGAACACTAATTTAAGTAAAAGGAGTGAATGACAAACCAAGGGCATTTTGAACATCCTGCTAAGGTTCAGGAAGACAAGCTACTCTATACATTTCCATTAAAAGCAGTTCGATGGGGACCGGAGAGTACCACATCAATCATGATATCACGTCCTTCAATATCTATCCTATAATTCACTAGAGTTTCTAAATGCTTTAGTACGGAAAACGGAACAAAATTATTGAATAATCGTATCGGACGTCTGTGATTGGCAAAGGGTTAGTTAAACTCTGTCCTAACTGGTTGATGTTCGTGAATAAGTGCAAATTTCAACCACAAGAGGGCTCTAGTGACCAGGTGCGACAAAACACGGTAGAAGTGTTAGTGCTTTGGTACAGGATCTGTTGTATATATACACACTCTCCTACATAGTTATACATGTGTGTACGTGTTAGCGTGCGTACTTGCATGTGCATATACGCCTGCATGTTTGTAACAATTACGACACCAACAACAATAACAACCGGGACCACCATCGATGCCTCACTATCACACCATTTCTCCCATCACTCCTTCTATCACATCACCATCACCACCATCGACTCCCTATCACCACCGCAGCCAACCCCAATGTTACCATTTTCACCACTTCCATACTACTACCACCGCCATTACGACCGTTATCTTCCTCACCCCCACCCCCACCTCCACCATAACCACTATCATCCTCACTATTAACACCATTACCATTAGTACCATCACCATTCCCACCATAATCCCCACCACCACCCTCACCATAAACCCCACTACCCCCACCAACGTCCCCCGCCCCCATAAACCCTACCACTCCCCACCATCCCCACCACCCTTTCCTTTGCCTACTTTATGGCTCCTGACCACATCCCAAATATGACTGGGGTGCCACGTCTGATCAGCCCAGTGATCATTCCGTTTCGTGAATGAATGAACGAATCCCCGCCCCCCCACCCCCACCAACAAACCACACCAGTTAACCCCAATAAACCCCCACCTCCAGATATCTACAGGAGCTGCTGATGGACGACCCAGGGTCCTACGACCCGGCCAACTGGGTCGTTTGGGCCAAAGGATCGCAGATCGAGGAGACGAAGGATTCTGACCCAGCGGTGGCTTTAGGTGAGGGGATGGTGCCTGGCGTATGGTGCCTGGCGTATGGTGCATGGTGTATCGTGTGTGGTGTTTGCTCTATGATGGCTAGTGTGTGGTGCTTGGCGCATCGGTGTGATGTCCGGTATATCGCGTGTGGTGTATAGAGTTTGGTGTATCGGGGATGGTGTATGCTATATGGTGTAAAGTGTTTAGCGCATCGTGTGTGATGTATGGTGTTTGCTATAAGGTGTCTGGTTTAGGCATATCGCGGGTGTTGTATAGTGTGTGTTATATGGTGTTTTTGGTATATTGTGCGTATTATTTTGCTTTGTTTTTTTTTTCTTTACATAGTGTAAGTGTAGTATGGTATTTCTTAGTTGCATGGGTTTGGCATACCGTAGGTGGTGTTGATGTATGGTACTTGGTTTATGGTGTGATGCGTATGATGTCTGGTGTATGACATGTAAAATATGGTTTGTAGCGTATGGTGTACGGTGAACATATATGGCATATGATGTGTGGTGCACGGTGCTTCATGTGTGGTGTATGGTATGTAGTGTCAAGAGAAAATGGAACTCTAATCCAGTGGTGATGGTGATGGCAATAAGTAATGCCAATAATTCAATACCTAATATTATCGATAATGACTGGTAAAAATGACAGGAGCAATAATCACGTAAGCTATAATGAAATAATAAGAAATAACAATAATAATGGTAGTTTTTATTCATGCTCATACCTTACTTTTTCTTTGTCATCATTTAATTTATGAAATTTGCATTTCATTAGATAAAAAAACAAATGTTGCCAAGACATTTAATTACAGTTAAACATGTTGATAAGGAATAGTAAAAACGATAGGAGTAATACTTGCAAAAGCAATTTTTTTTTTGCCTGATTCGCGAGGCAGAGCCTCGCCCGTGCTATGCCCATGAGGGGAGCCCGGTTTGTGCAAAAGCAATAATGAAATAATAAGATATAGCAATAATGGCAGTTTTTATTAATACTAATACTTTAATTTTCATTATCTTCAGTTAATTTATCAATTTCCCATGTCATAAGATAAGAAAGCAGCTGTTGGCGAAACACATTTAATTCCAAAGATACTGAGCTTTGGTTGTTTACATATTAGTGGTTTAAGCGACTTCTATCGCTTTCTTCCTTTGTTTTAGGATATGTCAGGATCAGCGGCCTGGATCTCGAGGCGACCATTGGCACCACGGACGATGGTGATAACGACTTTATGGGATTTGCTTTCAGGTATGTGAGCTTTTCATCATTATTATTATTATCATTATTATTTTATATACGCAGGTTTTGTGTATACAGCTTGTTTAGTTTAAGCCTTTCTGTTTGCTTATAAGATACATGTTACTTCTTCCCCGCTGTCTCTTTGCATTTCAACATCGACTTGTTGTAATACGTTGCTTGCTAGTTTCAACGAGTACATCAGAAAGCACCAACCTTTCCGTTAATATGGACTTTTCTACATAATGATACACCAACGACATAACTAATATGATAGTTATAACGCATCATCCATCCCCATTTCTCCATACAGTTTTCACAGTTATTCCGGGTTCTATGTGGTGACGTGGAAGCAAGAGGGTGAATCTTACAGTTCAGGCGGCTACAGTTCTTACGGCGAAATGGGAATTCACCTAAAGCTGGTCACGAGTCCAGCTGGCCCCAGCAAACGTCTCAAGACAGCTCTCTTTGACACTCCTTCTGTGGCTGGCCATGTACGAGGCTATGGCAGTAAAGACTGTATTGCTTTGAGTGTGTATACAAATGTGTCTATCTGTTTAATCATCATTTTGTCTGTATATACATCTATATCTATATCTACGGATACACACACGTATATAGATATACATATTTACACACGTGTGTGTGTACATATGTATATATGTATATATACATATATATATATATATATATATATATATATATATATATATACATATATATATATATATATATATATATATATATATATATATATATATATATTCATTTACACACACACACACACACACACACACACACACACACACACACACACACACACACACACACACACACACACACACACACACACACGTAAACACGCCCTCAACATTCCGCAGACTTCCATTATGATATCCGAAAATGCGATCGTCTAAGTCGTTTGCCGTGGGTGTGCAGCTATTACGTTAATTATAGCGTAACCTTCAAACAGCCACATGGTCTATTGCTAATGTACATTCCCTACCCTCTCTTCTTTGCTAATCCCTACATTACCTCACGGACATCTTTGCAAAATCCCACACATCTTCCTTCGACAACTCTTGATCAAATTGCCCTAGTTAATTCCTTCCTTCCTAAACTGCTGTACTTCTGATGCGTAGCACATTTAATCATAGAATAATATGAAACCTGCGTCGAATGCCCTGTTTTTTGTAATCCCAAGGGAACAAAATTGTGTCAAAAGCTGATCGCAGCAACACAAGAAACTCACATATAAAGTTTCCACCCTGACACCTAACAAGTAAATAATTAACTTTCTTCCCTTTGTTTCTTCTTGTCCTCCTCTTTTCCATTTTCTTTCTTCTTGTTCTCCTCTCTTCCCTTCTCTTTCTCTGCCTGCCTCCTCCCCTCTCTGTCCCTGTAACGTTAAACTTTTTTTTTTCCAGACGGAACTCCTCTGGCACAATACCTTTCCTTGGTCGACAAAGCTCCTTTACCGCTTAAAGGTCCTCCATCGTCCCCTGATTGGCACCATCCGCGTCTTCCTCAGCATAGGCCCTACTTTGCTCGCGGATTCTGGCAACATCTACAACGACGTGTTGCGGGGAGGGCGGTTTGGTCCGTTCTGTCAGGGGTTGCCGGCAATCACTTGGGCAAATATTAAGTACAGATGCAACGGTTGGTGGTGTTTACTGTTTTATTGGAATTTTGGGTTTTTAGGGTGCAGAAGTGACCTTTTATTTTCGATCCTGATGTTGCTCATTTGTCCCTGCCTTGCTTGCCAACTTCCATTAAATAAAGGTGAAGTTTTAAACACAGTGCTTGTCTAGGTGAATAATTCAGTTTTCATACCATGTCCTAGGATATACCTTCAATTAAAGTAGTCTTTTTGTTTTAACCCTTTACCAGACAAACGATCATATATGACAGTTTAGATAACAGGTAATATGTATCAGTAGATCAAGCTATAGCAGGCTGAAGTGAACAGGGAGCCAGCGAGTCCTTCAGCTAGGCCCTCATTAGCATGCTCAAGGGAGTCTTCTACAGAGGCGTATTGCTTGGAAGATATACAGCTAGAAACTTCTGACAAGGGGAAGAAAGCATATACCCCAAAGAAGAATGTCTGTTTCATTGTTGGAAGGCAATTTCAAAGTTTATTGATGAAATATTTGCATAGTTTAATAAGCATATAATTTCTCAGACTACTGTGTACTTTATCCATGACAAACATATATATATATATATATATATATATATATATATATATATATATATATATATAGTTGTCTTTATTTCTTTGAGATCCATGATGTTTTGCTTTATGAGAGAAATTCTACAACTAACTTTTGTTCCATAAGTAAATTTTTAATTAATTTAATATATATATATAGTTGTCTTTATTTCTTTGAGATCCATGATGTTTTGCTTTTATGAGAGAAAGTCTACAACTAACTTTGTTCCATAAGTAAATTTTTAATTAATTTAATATATATATATATTTTAGAAAGAATTATAGTCAGTAAGTTTCCTTGGAAACATGAAGCTTTGTTTCTATGAAAAGCTTTCCATGGTAACTTACAGTCTTGAATCCCGAATGAACATCCTTTTTATTACGTCAGTTTTCCAGTATGATCAGATTGCCTGCCCCCTGGAAGACAAATGATGATAAATTTGTACTTTTTTTCAAATATAAATTTCATTTCACAAGTGAAGTTTGATATTCACAAGATAATGCATGTTTGATAATACCAGGGCCTTGCAACCCAGCGAAAGGGATAGGCGACCCCAAGGCTGAGATATATATAGTGTTATAATTAAACACTTTGAGAATGATGTATGTTATACCCTTATAGTTTCTGTTTGTCTATCTGCCTGTCTTCTTACTATCCATGTTTCTCCCCCTCCCCCCCCCTGTGCCCTCTTAGCTCTCTCCCATTTCTTACTCTCTCTCTGTCTTTCTTTTTACATAAACAAATCCTTGATTATGTCGACAAAGTAAGACGATTTTAGATATTTTAAATATGTTCCCTTTTATTATTATTATCATTATTTTGAAATATTATTTCATTGTGGCAGACAAGGTTCCTCAGGAGATGTATGATGGGTTGTCAGCATCGCAACAAGCTCTGGTGGAAACTGAAGAGTGGACTATGTATCCGCCGTGCTGGGATTGCCACAGCCACGCAGATTGTACTGTCATTGACACAAGCCATACATGCACGTGTAAACCAGGCTATAATGGGGATGGCACCAATTGTATTAGTAAGTATGTTGGATGTGAATCTTAAGAATTTTTTTACAAAGATTATGATGTTCTACTCCAAGAAATTTTCCTCGTTGAGTCTGGACATTGCTTTTAAGAAACGCAGATGCAATTAGACTTGCAGTTGATATTTTAGATAGAAAACAATGTGTGATTCTGTAGATCAAGGAGAGGGAAGAAAGTTTCCCCCTAAATCAAGCACATTTACAGACCCATGTCAAGGCACACCATGTCCTGAGGGAAAGTTCTGTAACCACATGCTCACGGCGCCTTTCTACACCTGCGAAGCACACCCGTCTTGGTCGCTGCTGCAGCCTTTGGTATGGTTTCCCAGAATGCCTCAATGAGCAGGAAAAAGGCAAAGTGTGTTACATATAATGTTCTCGTTATAGGTTTTGTGGTGTACGTACCATAACCCCGATGCTGTGCCTGTGTTAGATGTGTACACTTATCCGTGCTTTTGACAGTGCCCAAAAGGAGAGGCCGGTGACGGCATCACGTGCGGCCCCGACAGGGACATGGATGGAAGGCCAGACGCGGACCTGGGGTGCGTCGACGTGCGCTGCCGTCCAGACAACTGCATCGACATCTACAATCCAGAACAACTCGACGCCGACGGGGATGATGTTGGTGATGCTTGCGATTTCGATATCGACGGCGATGGGAGGAGCATCGAATTGGTGAGGAAAACCTGATTTGGGATTACAAACTGGTCTTACATTATTTCTGTTTTCAATTTCTTCCATATCCACCTTTTCACATTTTTGTCCTTTGTCGATTGCAGCAGGATACTTCTTGTGTAATAGTGAGGCATGGTTATACATCTGAAACACAGCTACCTGTAAATTTATATTGATTCAAGATAATCACTGTCCCCATCAATCACCTGTAGGATAACTGTCCGACGGTGATGAACAATGACCAAGCAGACAGCGATTCAGACCAACATGGTGATGCCTGTGACAACTGTCCCTCAACGCCCAATCTGACGCAGCGTGACGCTGATGGTGACGGTCTTGGCGACGAATGTGATACGGATATAGATGAAGATGGTAACAGTTACCATATGTATGAAAATAAGGAGAATAAGAGGGATTGTTATAAAAGTTGTTTTAGTAGTAGGATTGATAATGGGAATAGTCCTATTGACAACAGTAACAATAATAACCATAGCTGTGACAATGAAGCACTGGCTGTAGCATTATAAATGATAATAACAATATCAATAATAAATAGACAGCTCTTAGAGTGGTCAAATCTCTCCCAGAGCTCAAAAAACCTTTTCTCACAGAAGTAAAGAATTCTTTTAATAATAATAATAAAAAAAACTGAACTAGTCATATAAATCATTATTATAATAGGGAAAATTGAGCGAATCCCTTTGCCTACCATCAGGTCTTGCCAATGGAGGTGACAACTGCCCAGATGTTGTCAACATTGATCAACTGGACAGTGATGGTGATGGAGTGGGCGACGCATGTGACAACTGCCCTTCAAGTAGCAACGCCGGCCAGGCTGATACAGACCAGGACTTTGTTGGTGATGTCTGTGACACTGACACAGACACAGACAGGTCAGTTGTTGTAACAGTATACCAAAGACCCGAAACCAAGCAGGGAATAGCTGTGTCCATGCATAGTGTCCTGTTGTGTTAGGTGTATACATGGTATACTTGTGTTTGTGTCATTTGCAATACTGCTATTGTAATCTTGATGCTAAAGGGAGGGGGGTGATGTACATAGCTTATCCCTGGTACTCTTATATGTAGAATGCATCATGCTGCACTTCATATTAATCTTTAGAATTGCATTTGGCAGTGATGGCTTCCAAGATGACTTGGACAACTGCCCAAACATAGCCAACAGTGACCAAAAAGACAGTGACACTGATGGCAGTGGCGATGCGTGTGACACTGATGCCGATGGCGATGGCATTCTCAACACCAATGACAACTGTCCTCTTGTCCCCAACGGCAGTCAGACCGATTCTGATGGAGATGGGATTGGTGATGACTGCGAAGGTGACTATGATAAAGATGGTGTCCCTGATGGCGGCGACAACTGCCCAAAGAACGCCCAGGTCTTCACTACAGAATTCAAGTAAATCTTTCTAACACTTTTGTTCCGTTTGCTGAGGAGGAACAGTTGTTTTAATCCTAGTGTTTTTTTATGCCTATGGTATCCTTTAGGCTCCTGACCTTTTCCATTTCAGAAGAGTGATGGTGGTTCCCTTGGAAGAACCTTATCACACACCCAACTGGTATTTCTTACCTGGAAGGACAGGGTTCTACCAAAGAGAAGAAGGAGAGACATCTGCAGCCATCGGTATGTATGGCCAGCATTGGTCAGACCATAAGAAGGAGAAGGGAAAACTTCAGTGAAATCTGTACAATAGGAACTGCTTTTAGAACCGAAAAAGCAAACTGCAGAAAATTAACCAGTATAATGAGTCGCATAATAAATTCTACAAATAGTACCAATGATAGAGAAATAAAAAATAGAGGGTTGTTGCACTGCCTGGTAACAAACAGGTGAAGCCGTGTATTGCTATACAGTTAGGTGTTAGAACCTTGGTGAGATCCAATCTTTTCGAGAGTAGGACACTACATTCAGAAATTTAAGAAGGTTGATCTAAAGCCCTCTGCTCCCTTGAGACCCTCTAGCTTATGGCCTGGTGCTATCACTGCCTGCCACCTTATTAATATACATGCAACCTCTCCTTGACACATCCTGGGCATTTTAGTATCATGGCCGGATACTAAAATGCATTAGGGTGCCACATCTCCTTAAGGCGCCTTAGTTTATGGCCGATTGCGCCTACGGTCCATATGCAGAGCCGTCATATTGCTACAACTCAGGGACCCGCCATATTGCTACAAGTCAAGGCACCATAGAGTAAGGCACAGAGGGAGCAACTCTAGGGGTTATGAAAAGCCTTAAACTGCATTTTTTCAGCCTTAAAATAACTACTACAACCTTGCAATTTATTTTGATTAGATATAGTGTAAGTAGGTGTGGATGGACCAATCATGGACTGATAACTAAGGCAGCAAATGTGATTTTCCAATACAACTTCATTGCTTTTGCCTATAGGCGTGTATCTCACTCCAATCCAATTGTATCTGTAAATAAGACATTAGTATTATAAATATTATTATCGTCGCTTAAGGTTCAGAGAAAAAAAAGAGGTACAGATATAGTTACGCCTTCAAAATTTATATACAGTATTATCTGTTAAAATAACAATAGATAGGAAATTCCGAGCATGTTAGAATTACCCTTGCAATATTACCCAACCTCTCGAGGAGATAATACTTTGTTCCTATATTTCACGATGTTTATGCATTCCTTTTTTTTCCATGAAGAATATTACATATTTTTCTTGTTGCACTAATTCTGGAAGGATATTGGTTAAAATTTTAGTACATCATGGGCTGTCCACTACGTTGTGTCTGATGAGCATTTACGGCTTGTGATTGGTCAAGATTCCCTAAGAACCGCCTAACACATCAGCTGTGATTAGCCACTGAAGATCCGATATCGTAAGTGATTTACTGCGATGCGGGAAAACGTTGGCATATACAAAGGTAATTCACAGCGCCTGAGACGGCCGGTGGCTTGAGTTGCTGCAGAACGGTTAAGGCCTCGAGCGCGCCTTAAATCTAAGGCTATTTTGAGTATACAGCCCTTGGAGTAGGGGAACAGGCGAACTTCAACTCTGTCTTAGAGTTGCAGTCTGTTTTACTTTTACCTATTTTTTTATGACCAGTACTATCTAACTATCCAACACCTTCAATGTACTGTAAACTGGGGGACGAGGGTTTATGGCATAGAAGGATGGAGGTTGTTAACTAGTTTGGCGTTTTAGGGACCAGCCATCCTTAAAGATTTGCCTTTGCTGTTACCGCTTATTATGTACGGTGATGGCTGCCCTGCCTGAAGAAATGGGGCACTTTAGGGGTTCAGTGGGGCTATAACGCCATGGAAATTAGATTGCAAGATTGATTTTAATAGATTTTGATTTTCCTTTTATTGAAGGCACGTATTACTTTCTCAATTTTAAATAAATAAAAAATGGACTTATGATATTAGAACTTGCTTGGGTATGTTTGGTCCTACACCAGCACTTTTATTCAGAGTATTCGCAACATGTCACATACAATTTAATCCTCGATTATTGCCAGGTGATGTGAGTCTTGGCAGCGTTGACTTCGAAGGAACCTTTACGATTGAGAGCACTGACGATGACTTTGTTGGATTTGCTTTCAGGTATTCTCTCTTCATTTATCTTCAAAGTCTCTCTCATCTGGCTGGTGTTTTTTCCCCTACTTTTGTTTCCAGAGCCTACTTGCCCCTGAAAATCACAGTAAATTGTAGAAAAAATACATATTAATGGGAAACTGGACCGGAAATTCCACTGCAAATTACATAGGACGATTGAGAGACACGCCATTTTTTCCTCATCACCGATAAATCTTAACAGTAACTTAAAAGATGAGTACACACCTGCAGAAATATTACACACCACCTGGAGGGGAATGACGATACAGTTGAGAGCCACTGGTCTGTAGGGTATACTTTCTCGGTAAGGAAGTTTTCCCTTGTTTTCAGTATCTAGTTTCCTGTCAGGTCCACTGTCTTCAGGGGTCTTTTCTTTATGCCAGGGATTTTCTTACCATATAATCCAAGCATCAAAATCTTCCAACTATAATTATTGCGAAGATCTCAGTATTCTCCATGATCTAGATTCACCTATGGACTCTTTCATTAGATAGTCCTAGAGTCCTAGATTTTTCTTTAGTGCATAATGTTTTTCACTTCACTTCTGCATTCCCTCATCCTAATGCAAGAAAGCTGTCAAATATCTACATATCATACACCATAAGTGTAAAATTGTAAAAAAAAAAGGAAGTAAAGATATATAATTACAATGCTGAAAATTAGAAATACAAGCTAAAGGCTCTCTTCCTCAACAGTTTCCAAGACAACCGCAGGTTCTACATGGTGAATTTTAAACAGGATGCTCAGCAGTTGGCCTCGCCTGCGGTCAGCGATCAGGGTCTTCATCTCAAGCTCGTCGACTCTGCCACAGGACCAGGAGGCAACGATCTTCAGTATGCGATCTATAATACCGCGAGTGTCGCAGATCAAGTGGGTGTACCATTGTAAAGCCTTGTCTTTGTTACGGATTGAAAGATTTATACTCTCCTTGCAAAGTAAAAAGGTTTGAACCAGATTTTACTAAGGCAGTATCCTGATAGAAATACATTCTGTATATTTTAGTCCGTTGTACCACATCCCTGGATATGATTGCCTTTCCACAGAGAAATGGTAAAAACCTTAGTATAGCTTGCAAATGGAGAAGATAGATATCTATGAGTAGTGTGTAAATATACCATATTTGCCTTCGCAGAGCATACACCCTCACATAAGACGCTTCCCATTTTACAAGGATATTCTGTATAATTTGTTTTTAAAATGTTCCATCATATTTTTGTTGATATACGTTTGTCTAGGAGATGCCACAGTACCTCACTTAGCACCGGTGTAGCCTTGCTCGACATAGTAGCCTCCATCGCCGTGTCCTACTACACTGGTGACCCCGGAGTGACCCGAACACCAGCCATTCGGCCAATCACTGTACTCGGCCGCGGACGCCATTCTCGCCCTCGCAAGATTCTCGCTCTGTGGTCCTTTCTTCCTCGACAGGGGGGAGGCATTGTGTCAGACGCCGCAATCACCTCACTAAGCACCGGCGTAGTCTCACTTGGCATAGTTGCCTCCGCACTGATTCAGTGGAGTTACACGTCGTGG